TCATCTGTTCTCTGTTTCTTTCCAGCATGGGTTTCTGGGAGTGACCTAACTCTTACATTCCCCATTCTCCACATCGTCTGCCATGTCTTAGCTGTTAGGCTGATTCTGACACCATCTTCACCTCTTAAGTGGCTTTGTTCAGTGCTGCATAATCAAGGCGATGGCCTAAGATATTTTACCAAAGAGCACAAGAGATAATTCCTGTTTGAGGTCTAGCTGGTGATATGTGCCATAGAAGTACATATATCAGAGATTTGATGTCTTATGTCCTACTCCCCTATACCATTCATGTTATAAACAAGGAGACAAAGTTTTGTACCACACATCATGGCTGGTGGTACAGTTAGAGACAGAATCAACAGCAAACTCATTTAAATTTCTATTTTATTTACTTTGAACAAATAGTCCTATTAGTATGCCTTCAGCATATTTTAAAAATACAGATTGGAGTAAAAAAAAGCCATATCAGGATGGTCTATCAATGTTTGATATCCTATTAGGACGTTTTTTAAAAATGGAAATACCCAAACAAGAAATTATTTGGAAATTTATCTGTTCCCATAACTCCATTATGTAAAAGCTAAATTTTTTTTGGAAAGTAAAACAATGTCATTCCACCAGATGTCACTGTTTGCATGTAGCAATGAAGTCACAATGATTTAAAAATACAATGTCCCCCCAATCTTATTTTGTAAAAAAAAAAAAAAATTCTATATAATTATAGGTGTGCTCTTTTTGTAGACTCACCATTTTGAGACTATCATCTTTGATTTTTAAAAAGCATACAGAGTATTCACATTCCTCTCTTGAAGTTTTTAAAGAAAAAAATTATACAAGGCTACAGAAAATGATTTGTAGAGTAGCATCTTCAAGAAGATGAATTCCTGAAGATTTTTCCCAGACCTTCGGAGTCTATTTTTTTTAAACATTCGCTGATGTAAGCTAATGCTTTCCAGGTTGTGGATTCAGACTCCATAAATAGGTTGTAAAATCAGTTTAGTGCTTTAAAGAAATGGTGTCTAGAATAAAACAGCCCATCATAGCAGAAGGGTGTGGTGGAAGAAAGCAGTTCAGGACATGGCAAGCAGGCAACTGAGAGCTCTACTTGCCCAGGACAAAATATAAATCTCAAAGGCACCCTCCCAGTGACCTACTTCCTCCCGGCACACCCTATCTGCATACAGTTCCCGCCCTATTAATCTATATCAGTGGATCGATCCACTGACTTAATCTAACAACTATTATAATCTAATCATTCACCTCTGAAAATTGCACACACTTTTGGGGGCCACCTCATGTCTAAGCCATAACACCTGGGACCCATTCTCCTCTCTGCTTCC